AGAGGAGTGGGGAGGGGGACCGGGCGAGAGCGGAGTGGGGAGAGGGGTTGTAGGGGGGACCGGGAGAGCAGGCGGAGACGGCCGTCAGCCAAGTGGAGAGGAAGCGCGGGGGAGGGGAGAGGGGAGAAGTCGGGGGATGGGGACCCGGGGGTGGAGAGTCTAGGGAGTCGGCGAGTGGGGAGAAGTGGGGGAGCGGGGGGACCCGGGAGGTAAGGGGAGCGGGAGATGCGTGGAACGGAGAGAGCCGGGGGAGTCCTGGGACCAGGGGAGTGAGGGGGAGCGGGGTGCAGGGAGGGGTCCGTGGGATACGGGCAGGCGCCGCCGAGGCTCTTCTGAGCGCGGCACCCCGTTTCTGCCCGCGCGCCGGCTTGGCGGTGCCCCTCGGTTCCAGGGAAATGGACCCCGCCTCTCTGTGACCTCGAGCTGTCCCCAGGGGAAAGAGGCCGTCCCGCAGCCACAGGCCGAAGAGCCGCAGACCTGGGTTCAAATCCCAGCGTCCCCGCAGCTGGCCACTTCCTGGGCACGGCTCTCAATCTCTCCGCGCATCGGGCTCCTGGGCCGCTGGTCAGGCTGTGCCGCCCGGGCTGCGCGGAGCTGAGAAGGGAGGAGGAGAAAAGGGGGCGCCCTGGGACCCGCCCGGGGCGCTCCAAGACAGGGCCACCCTGGCGCTCCTGGCGGCCGCTGAGCCCGGGGAGAGAGGCGCCAGCGCTAGTTCGGGGCAGTGACTGCGGACTGCCCGGTGGTCCTGGTCTTAGTCTGAGGACCAGCCAGATGGGACCAGCAGTGAGTAGGTGGGTGCGTGCTCGGAGGGCGCTGGCTGAGGTCTTGCTTAGGATTAGTTCCAGTTACAGATGTCACCTCCAGGCACGCTGCCTCTGCAAACTTGTGAAGAGCCTTCTAGGACAGGTGTTAGGGCTAGTGGGGGTGGGCGCTGGAGGAGCCACACAGGGTCCCCCACCCAGGAGCAGCTTGGCCAAGGAACCCAGGCACAGGGGACACATGCTGGGGTACACCGCCTCCAGCAGTCACAGCCAGCCATCTGGAGGGTAAACCCTGAGCATCGGAAGGGCCTCCTCTGTGAGGCCCTGGACCGGGGCTGGAAACGGAGTCTCATTTTGGGGTGTTCGTTTCTCAAGCAATGGTGAGGCACCCCCAGTTAGCCGCTTTTCTCCCCCAGGCTCTTCCTGTTTGAGGAATACACTCAGGAAGCACGAACAATCCTAACAGAGTTATTGAAACCATACTCCAAATGGAATTCAGCTGAGCAGCAGAGAATGATTCCACGCTCCGTAAGCACTTCATCTTCTCACTGTTGGAGCTCACTGGGGGCTCTTGGGTTCCCGGCTGGACCTGCCATGGTGTCCGCTGCCCCCAGCAGCCCCTTTGAGCTGCACTGCCCAGCCCACAGCCCCTGCTCTGGGGAGCATTGTGGCAGCCAGAGACCTTTGTCTCTGGGGCCATTGGGTTTTGAAAATGAAAGAAGTTGGCAGAGACAGGGCAAGAAAGATCCCTGGTGGCACAGCGGTTAAGAGCTATGGCTGTTCACCGAAAGGTCAATGGTTCAAATCCACCAGCCACTCCTTGGAAACTCTATGGGACAGTTCTACTCTGTCTCATAGGATCACTATGAGTGGGTTATAGGATCAGTATGAGTCAGAATTGGCTTGTTGGCAATGGGTTTGGTTTTAGAAAGTCCAGCACCTACAAATGCACAACAGTGGGAAGGAGGTGGGGGGACAGCGCCTCCTGCTGCTGGGGCTGGGAACATCCAGGAGCTCAGGGTCCCCCCACGCCCCAGCTCTGATTACAGCTGGGGAAGAAGTGTGAATAATAACAAACTGTGGGTCACCCTAACATTCACCCCACAATAAAACTATATAACGGGAAAGTTAAAACCAGAGCTACCGTGTTGTAGTTGTTACGGGCAGTTAAGGTAGGTTCCAACTCATAGCGACCCCACAGTAGAACTGCCCCACAGGGTTTTCTTGGCTGTAATCTTTATGGAAGCAGATCGCCAGGTCTTTTCTCCTGCAGAGTCGTTGGGTGGTTCAAACTGCCAACCTTTCAGTTAGCAACTGAGCGCTTAACTGTTGCATTACTAGAGCTCCTTAGAACTACCATAGGACCTAGCAATTCCACTCCTAGGTATAGACTCAAAAGAATTGACAGCAGGGACTTAAACAGATACTGGTCTACCAGCGTTCACCACAGCGCTCTTTACGATAGCCAGGAGGTAGAAACAACCCCTGTCCATCCACACGTGAACAGATAAACAAAATGTGGTAAAGCCATACAATGGACTATTCTTCAGCTACAAGGAGAAATGGAGTCCTGGTGGTGCAGTGACTAACAGCTCAGCTGCTGACCGAAAGGTTGGCAGTCAGAATCCACCATCCGCTCCTTGGAAACCCTATAGGACAGCTCTGCTCTGTCCCATAGGGTCACTATGAGCTGGAATCAACTCGACGGCAATGGGTTTATTTTGGTTATAAATGAAGTCCTGATACATGTTACGACACAGAGGAACCTTGAAAACGTTATGCGGAATGGAATAAGTCAGACATAAAAGAACCAATATTGTGTAATCCCACTTTTATGAAATATCCAGACTAGGCAAATGCATAGAGACTAAAGTTTATCAGCGCCTACCCGGGGCAGGTGGGAGGGGAAAATGGGGAGGTATTGCTTAAGGGGCACAGAGTTTCAGTTAAGGGTGATGAAAAATGTGGAACCAGGTAGTGGTGATGGTTCTATAACACGGTGCATGTAATTAATTAATATCACTGAGTTGTACATGTGAAAAATGGTTGAAATGGCAAATGTTTTGTTAAATATATTTCAACACACACACAAAAAGACTATGCAGGCTGAAAAATGTACACATATAACAGGAATCAATGGTACTTGGTTGTTGTGTGCCTTCAAGTGGCTGCCATCTCATAGCGACCGTTTTGCTTTAGCGGGGCCAAAGCCTCTTTGTGTGTGTGTATAACTGAGAGGTGATATTAGGGAGAGCTAGAGGAACCCCTTTTTGGGTGGATGGTCCCAGTGACCCCCTGCATCTTGGCCTGAGCTACTTTGAAAGGGTCTCTGTTCATTGTACCCATCTAAGTAGAATAGGACTCAGCTATCACGCCCAGTGACAGGTGCTATTTGGGGCCACTGTTACCCAGCGTGGCATTTCAGCAAGTGGCACCAGAGAGCCACACATCTCCATTGAAGAATGGACTCGCAAATTCACTCGTGTGCAGTGCTGCGGAGATGTGGATGCTCAGAGCGTCCAGGTCAGTGGGCTGCAGCCCCATCTGCTCCAGGCCTGGCATCGGTGTTCTAACGTCCAGAAGTCAGGGGGATTGGTTAGTTTGTCCCCTAAGCACCAAGCGCTGGCCCTTGATGGGCTACTTCGATGAATTTGCCAGGATACTTCCCTTGAGATAGGCCCAGATTACACCCTGGCCCACTTCTGAAAAGGTAACGTTTTAGAAGGACCATTGTCTTTCCTTACTCACCCTCCTTTCATCAGCTTTTAACTCCATATTTAGAGCCGTCCGTGGGCTTCTCGGTGGCGGAACACCAAGCTGAATCCAGGCTGCAGGGGCCTCTTCAGAGGTGGCATCAGACCACTGCTGCTGAAGTCAGAGGCAGGATTACAGGTGACAAAAAGCAGGGCTGGGCGAGGCCCCTTTTCTCTTACACCTGCATTTAACTAACTCCTGTCAGCGGCTGGAGGGGGCAGGTGCCAGATCCCAGTGACAGCTGTGGGCAGACAAGCCTGCTGCCGTGAGCTGAAGGCACGAATATCGCCTCCAACGCAGAAGCCTGGGAGAACAGCTGAAGCCCCTGGCTAAGCCACTGTCCAGCATCAGCTACAGTCAGCCCTCCATATCCCTGGGTCCCCATCAGCGGATTCACCCAATCTCAGTTGGAAAATATTTGGGGGAAAAAAAAAAGTTACATTGTTGCTGATGTGTATTATATAATTAGGCCTACATTGGTTGCTCTGTACTGAACATGTACAGAGTTTTTTCTTGTTATTATTCCCTAAACAATACAGTATAACTATTTACATAGCATTTCCATTGTATTAGGTATTATAAGTAATCTAGAGATGATTTAAAGTATAGGGGAGGATGTCCATAGGTTACATGCAAATACTACACCATTTTATACAAGGGACTTGAACATCCGTGGATTTTGGTACAGAAGAGTCCTGGAACCAATCCCCCGTGGATCCCGAGGGATTACTGTACGCTACCACTAATTTCACTGCATTGACAAACTTCCTTCACTAGAAAACGCACCGTCCTAAATCACCCTGCCCAACAGGTCAATCCATCCATGCTCTGGATGCACAATGAAGTCATTTGTCCGGTAAACTCATCAAGACACGTGCTGGTCAAAAGCCAGACATTCTAAAGCTTCTCAGATGGTCGCGGCCACAGCTTGGGAACACCTGCCCTTTAATTTTACATGGACAACCAGTTTCCTTTGAGAGTAGTGGCCAGGATTGGGAGGCAGCCATGTGGCCGGGGTGGTCCCATCCCCAGTAAAACCCACAGGTATGAGAAGGGCCGGACACGGTCACCCTGGTGACGAGCATGGTGATGAGTGAGCCTGGCAGGCTCTGATGGGCTTGCTCACAAGAACCGGGAAGATGTCTGATGCCACGCCCCTTCTCCCACATCACAGAAGGTGACCAAGTTCCCAGAATAGGCACTTCCACTCCTACTGCCTAGGGCAGCTTTCCCCACCTGGTCCACCTGGCGGCCTCCCATCACTCTCCCCACCTGATCCACCTGGCGGCCTCCAACCGTCAGGCCAAACAGATGCTTGGTGATGGCCCTCCTGTCCCACCCAGGACAGAGTCACCGGCCCTCTTCTTGGTGCTCATGCTGAGATGCCCACACGTATGGTCACTTGTGGGCCTTCATCTCCCTGCCACTCTAACAGAGCAGACAGGAGGCCCTGTGCACGCACTGTAGGAGAACGGCTTCTCTCTGGGCGTTGGTTCCCTGACTTGGCCCCCGGTGCAGTCAGTGAATGAGTAAACGGTACCACTTTGGGGCCCACAGAAGGCCCCAGCGTGGTGCCAACCAGCTGAGCCCTGTGGAGAAAAAAACCTACAGCTCAAACAGGGGATGGCAGGACTGGTCTGGGGGCCACTGGGCTGGCCGGCTCTTCTCCACTGAGACCTCGGCTGTTGAAAGCAATAGCAGAACTATAGTTACAATGGGGGATACTGGGCGAAGGGCACTCAGGACCCCTCTGTACTAGCTCTACAACTCCCTGTGAATCTTACATTATTTCAAAACAAAAAGTCAAAACTGCTGTAATGTGAAGATCAGCAGAAGCCTTGGGAGGCGGGTTTCCGTGGACGCTGTGAAGTCCTTCTAACAAGAAAAGCTGTCCGAAACTGGAGTGGGAACGCTTTAGACAGCCCCACCTCCCTCGTGCAGGGGGCCGGCCCCGGACACTTCCCCGAGGCTGCACAGTGCACCCCGGGTGAGCCCCAGCTCTGGAGCCAGGCGGGAGCCTAGCTTCAAATCCCAGCCCTACTACCTGTAGTTTGTATAATCGCAGGCAAGCTATTTTGCCTCTAGAAAAATGCAGACAAGAACATTAGACTTTATTTTTAAAAAAGAAAAAAAAGCCTGCAAGGAGGGGTCAGTGCCCCCGGGGATGCCACTTGCAAGGTGGTGGCTGGCTGGGGCCCCGCATGTGGCAGGTGGGCTGGCGTGCTGCACTTCTCAGCACCCTGCTGTCGCCTCCCTCAGGAGACAGGTGAGGATTCTGGTTCCCCAGGCGGGCTTACAGGGCTCTCCCTGCAGTTCACACCTGACAGGGCGGCCTGTGAACCACCTCGCCCCACTGACGGCCCTGCCAGGCTCAGCCCGACTCAGAGAAGCCTGGAGGCTGACACACGCCACGGAAAACTGAGGCTGTTGCCCTACCTTGCGGCGAGGGCCTGAGCCTTTATTACCAGATGGGTATTAAGCTCTCAATGAGAAATACGGTCTTTGGAAAATAAGCTTCTAGAAGATAAAACTAAAAGGGACGGAGCGGGGTGGCTCCAGGCGCCCTCACGCCATCCACTGACAAAGCTGAGAACTGCGTCCACATTACTCGTTGTGCAAAAGAGCGGAGGACAAATACTTTTTTCTTCGCTTTTCTGCAAAGCCACTTTTCCAGGCCAGTTATTATGGTAAAGTACAAACAGCAGAAACAGCAGAAGTAAGCAGCTTAGACAAGGACAGGGGATGAAGGGCTTTTTCCTTCCAAACAAAAAGTGCGCAGCAGTCCCCACGTTTAGAGGGCTGAGCTGTGGCAGAAGCAATCAAGGCTGAGGGACGTGTCTGGCAGCCAGCCTGGCACATGGAACGCGTCCAAGTGACAAAGCGAGCCTGGGGCTCTTGTGGCCCTCGCAGGGCCGAGGCAGGCTCCATCCCTCCACCAGGACGCCCCTCCCTCCTGCGCCCTGCAGGGGTGAAAATGACCAGTTGGCAGGCTGAGAGGCAGCCACCACAGAGAGCTGACAGTATTTGAAAAGCCCAGTGGAATCTGCAGCAGTGCTTGAAAAGAAATGCTTTTTATTTCTCAAAAATGACCAAGATGATGCCTGAGGCTTCCAGTAGGAAGGTAACCATCTGCCCGCAGCTCTGCTTCTCATGGGGAGGGGATCGTCTATCATCTTCACGCAGGCGTCGGGCCAGCACGGGCCCTGCGTGCTGGCAGGGTGACTCCAGGTCTCCTGTCACTCGACCCCTCCCCACTGCCCGCCCACCCACTATGGATCCCGCTGCACACACGGTGACAAGACTGGCCGCCGCCTGGCCAATGAGGCTGACGCACCGCAGGCCCCCAGGGCGCTGAGCCAGGAAATGTATTCAGGCCACCGCGCTTCCCGCTTCCTGGGAGAGCTGGCTCATTGCGGCTGTCCTAAGTGGCAGCTTCTGCTAGCTACTGCTATCTTGTCTCCCGAGCCACCTAAAGTTCCCACTGCCTGTCCAATGACTTAGAATGGCCATTTGACACTGGTCTATGAAACAACTGAGGGGCCCTGGTGGCACAGTGGCTAAAGTGCTCAGCTGTGAACTGAAAGGCTGGCGTTTTGAACCCACCAGCCGCCCCGTGGGAGAAAGATGTGGCAATCTGCTCGGTAGATGACAGCCTTGGAAACCTCACGGGGCAGTTCTACTGTCCTATAGGGTCACTGAGTCAGAAACGACTCGCCGGCAACGGTTTTGGTCTATAACTCAAGCAAAATTAGAAAACCAGACGGCAGAACCTTAGGAGGCGCCGGGGAGCTGATCTTGACCCCATCACTCAAATCACGCGTCTACTGTGCAAAGCACTTCTCTCGTCTTTTTAACGCCCACTGGGGCCGCAGCCAGGTTTTATCGCCCTTGTTACAGACGAGGGAACTGCAGCCTAGAGCCTACAAGAGGCCGGCCCCCGGCCCCCGCTCACTCACAGGTCCAGTCATTACACAGATGCCCGCCTTCCTCCTTCCCCACGCCTCCTGGGCCCGCAGCGGGAGTCCCAGACGGCCGCTGTGACCACCACTCTTAACTCCTCACATGGCCCGTGCTGGGTGAAACTTCAACATCACTCAGTCTATGATCTTGCAAGATTGGAAACAATATAAATGAGACGCCTATTATTAAAAAAAAAAATCAGTGTGCTAAAAAGAGAAAGGTTCTCCAGTCTTTTTTATTGATTTATTCTATTGCCTCCTCTAGGAAGACGCGCTGCAGAAGGACATTATCAGCCTGACGCACACCATCAATGGGAAATAGCTATTTGCAAAGTATTGGAGACATTAAGGCCGGGAAATCCTCACTTGGGCGTCCATCCCCCTTCCCCCCACCCTGTGCAGAGAAGGGTGTTCAGGGGAGAAGGTGCCCCACAGCTGCAGGGGGCACCGGCTCTGCCATCCTAACGAGAGGACCGCGTGAGCGAGCGGGGGCTCTGAGACTACCTTGCTGGGCCTTGGGACATTTTCCTGTAGGCTTTAGAGAAATGTTGCAACCTTGCTGTGTGCCCACTGGAGGTAAATAATAAAAGAAACATTCTCCAACTGACCTCCAGCAGGAGGCAGGCTTTCCCTCGGTGTCAGACACTTCCCCGCCCCTCTCTGAGTGCTGCTCGCAGGGGAGGGCTCTCACTACCCCTTCTCCACAGACGGAACTTGATCAGGAAACATGTGGCTTCTCACTGACGGGCAGGGCAGCCACTGACAGCAGCAACCCGCTCGGCGGCCTGGTGGGTGCCGGGATTTCACACGGAGGGAAGAGGGCTGGCGCAGCACCCCAGGCCCAGCGGGAGAAAGGAAGGTCACAGCACGTGGAGATATCAGACGAGGTAACACAGACTATTCTGAACACAGGCAAGAAATGCACAGTCTGGATTTAGATTCTCATACAGATGAATTTTAAAACTGCACCCTTGGTCGGCTATCTGTCCATACACAATGGAGCTCTGATCTCATCCATGTGTCAGATCTCAGGATCGAGTGTCACCTGGGCACAGCAACACGGGCCCGGCCACCAGATCCAGGAAAACGGACACTCTGTCCCCCTCCTCACTCGTGTCTCACCTTCTCACCCTGGCAAGGCCGGGAATCAATAAAGCCAAACAATAAAAAACAAAAATAAAAAAAAGGAAGAAAAGAAAGAGAGCGAGTAAGTCACTGCAGCCTGCAGCACCAGCCGACAGAGTAGCCTTGGGCGCCACCCTCGAGGAAAAACAATACTGCAGTTTAAACGGTCTAACGTCAAATCTCTGAAGTCCTCCCTTCCCAGGGCACTGCTAAGGAGCCCCGGAAAGGCTGGGGACACTGTGGACCCTGGAGGCGCCGGTGCCCGGCGCTGGGCCAGTGCAGCGAGGAGGGCGTCACTCCAGGGCGGCCAGCTGCTCAATGGCAGAACGCACTTTCTTGGCAGTTTCTTCAAACTCTTTCTGCTTACTGTTGGTTTCCTTTGCCTGGAAATAAAGAACAGGCATATGAAACGGAAACAAGCTCTTCCAAATCACACATCGTAGGTAAGATTAAAAAAAAAAATAGGGAACTTTCACTGAGCACCTAAACACGCTGGGCACCACGTGGGCAGGCGCTCAAGACAAGTAGGTGCAAAAGGGTCGAGGGAGGGCCGCGTGCAGGTGAATACCCTGATTCAACGCAGCTGCCCCTCCTGAAGCTACCCCCTAAAACCACAACGACAGCCAACGTTCACGGAGTGCTCCCTATGTACCAAGCACTATTCCACAGGCTTCACACACGTGAACTGGGTCAGTGCTGAATGTACCATCAGGAAGGGCCACCATCATCCCCATCAGACAGGTGAGAAAACCGAGGCTGAGTTAAATGCCTGGCTCCAGGTTACCTGGCCAGCTCCTCACCCACCAGCCTGCACTGCTCCTGAGACTCCCCTAGGAGAAGTCCAGAGCCTTTACTCCCACGTGCATTAAAGAAACCTGGCAAACACCAGCTTTTTCCTAAAACAGAAAAAGTTCTTCTCAGCTCCAGTACCTCCCAGAAATCGGCTTCCAGCCTTCTCGTTCTGCTAAAAGCGTGCTCTCCAGGGGGCAAACGGCAATCACATTGGCAAACCCAGGGACCAGCTTCCCTATCCTAATCTTTATTCTCCTTGGTTCCTCAGCCACATTAAAGAAAAAGCAAACAAAAGATCTTTATGCGGTTAAACTTGTTTTCTAAGAAGAAAAGCAATAGAGGTTTGCTTTGAGAAACACATTTCAATACATACTTTCGTCTGTGACTTCAATTTTGCCCCATCTGACTTATTTTAAAACCAATGAAAAGAAAACACGATTTTTAATATAATCAGCTGACAAGAGAAGAAGAGCAGCTGACTCACAGTGCTGCGGCCTGACAGCCACCCTCCGCCCAAGAACCTCATTTTCACCAGTGCAGAAAGACGGCCACAGCCCTTTGAAAAAAATACTTATTTCATACCCTTTTTTTCTTCTCTTTAAAAAAAAAGCCTAAAATTAATTAAGTCCCTTTGCACACATGCTGTCCACCACCCATCTGTCAGTCTGTCACACTGTGGTGGCAGCACATTACTGTGATGCAGGGTCACCCACGGTGGACAGGTTTCAGCAGAGCTTCCAGACTAAAACAGACTAGGAAGAAAGGCCTGGCAATCTACTTCTGAAAATCAGCCAATGAAAACCCTATGGATTATAACAGAACACTGTGTGATGTAGTGTTGGAAGATGAGCCCCCTAGATTGGAAGGCGCTCAAAATACACAGCGGCCGCAGCAGTGGACTTGAGCACACCAGTGGTCACGACGAGGGAGCAGGACTGGGCAGTGTTTCAGTCTGCTGCGCACAAGGTCGCCAGGAGTCAGAGCTGACCGGCAGCTAACAGCACCCGCGCTGTAATTTAACTGTCGCCTCAGGGAGGCAGGTTATCTCCAATGTCTACAGTTTCTGATAAAGGGCGGGTGAAGCAGAAACAAAAGACCTCACTACTGGGAAAACAAAATAAAACTCCCCAAGCAGAGCTTCTGCCCTCAGAGCTGGGAAGTCCTTTTCCTAGTGGTTCATTTTATCCCATCACAGGCATTTACAAATGAAGGCTTTGGCAGACGTGAGGGTCTGCTGCTCCCTACGTTTATTCCCTGAACTGACTGATTTTCCAACTGGTAGCTGTTACTTCATTTTTTAAGATGGAGGCATCCGCAGCCAAGAAGCAAGAGCCAGAGGGCCCGTGGTGCAGACCAGCTGGTGAGACCTTGATGGTGCGGTGCATCACCCCCTGGCCGGCCCCTGGAAACCTGCCCTCTGCACTGCAGCGCGCATTTCCAGACCAAGGCCCAGGCAGGCTGCTGGATTGCAAGCTCGTCAAACCGACGGGCAGCTCGTCTCAGGTCTGCGATCTCAGAAATTAGCAGCAGCACAACAAACAACACTCTCTCCTTGTCTTCAGTATCTGGATCCTACCGACATACCTGGTCCTTTCTAAAAGAATGCCTGATAAATTACTGTTGTGACATACGTACAGTAGAGAATTATTCACTGTTGATCTGAAACACAGATTTAACTGGGCACCCTGGCTTCCTCTGGCAACCCTAAATCTCCGCAGCCAGGCTGCCTGGGAGCCATCACGGCCCCACTCTTCTACCCTGCCAGTGATCCAGTACGACTGGGACAGGATTCTAACGTCACCTGCAGACATCCCCTGCAGGTCCAGCTGGCCTGTCGCTTCTTTTCCCCTTCCCAGTGTGCTACTATGTGCTCCCCAATCTGTTCACACCACTAACACATTAACACACAACAGTGCACACGGCTTCCTATCTGTCATGGCTGCCGTCCTGGAGGGCAGGAATGCTAGCTTAACCACCGTCGGGTCCCCACCAAAAGTAGCCCTTGACACACAACTCACACGGAACCTGTGTTCACTGAGTGAATGTGTTATTCTGTCCCTTTGTACCCTTACATACCTGTCACATATATGGGCTTAAAAATGCTCAAGGTAAGCACAGAGGTCATCTAGTGTTCTTGAGGGACTGGGGCGGCTGAGTACTAAAGACGCTGAACGAGACTTGTTCTCAGTTCTTACTTCCGATAATACGTACGATTTTGTTCTTGGCTCGCTCTTTGTCCAGTTTCAAAAATTCGCTGAGAGTTAATTCTTCAAACTGCTTCTTGACAGAAAGGAAAGCACACCCAGATGAATGTTTTTTATGTTCCTCTCTAGAAAAACCAACACAAGAGCATGCCAACAGAGAAAAGTCAGGGAAGAGGAGAAAGGCAACCGTTCATTACCAGCGGCCCAGTCCCATCACCCACCTCCCTGTCTCCTGTGAGGCACAGCATGTTCTGCTTCAAAGCAAGGGATGAGCTGGAGGTACACGGAATCAGCACCACGTCCCAGACCACATCCCCACACGCCTTGTCTGAACACCTGCTCCCTCTCGGTGAACGTCTCCCCCACGTCTTTGCAGCTAATGTATTTTATCTGAAGTCCCTTAGCAATTAGTAGGAAAAGGGTTATACTTTAAGTCCAGAGTTATTACATGTCAAATCCCTCTAAAATCCTCAAGGAACTGTTTGAATTAACCTCATTTCGCTGGCGCTGGTACCTAACCTACTGGCTCAGAGTAAGGGTAGTGCGGGTTAGGCTTTTCCAGAGAGCTTCTCTACATTATAACATCATTCTCTACGAGGGGAATTATTCCTGAGGAGCTGATGTCACTGTAACCAAAAAACTATTGGAATGAAAACAGAGCCACAAAGTCCAAAAGGACGGCCGATCGTAACTACAGTCAGAAGCCATTCGATCGTAACTACAGTCAGAAGCCATTCTAACACTTAGATGTTCACTTCCAAGAGTAATACAATCAATATTTTTCCACCACGCATCCCAGTCAATACTGGATCATCACAGCAAACACCTTAGGAAAGAAACAGCAGCAGTCTTCTGGCCAAGAAGATAAACAACTCGGCTGAAAGTTCTGGAAATAATTGATTCTGGCAGGAAAAAAAAAGGGTGAAAAAAGCATGACATTCTGGAAAGATAGAGGACTGTATCTATCTGAATATACACACAGAATTTTTTTCTAGTGACTGGGTATCTTGACAAGCTCCTTGACAGTTCATCACGCTTGGTAAAGTAGAAGGTCAGCAAAAAAGAGGAAGACCCTCAACGAGATGGATGGACACAGTGGCTGCAACAATGGGCTCAAGCATAACGATTGTGAGGATGGCGCAGGACTGGGCAGTGTTTCGTTCTGTTGCACACAGGGTCACTATGAGTCGGAACCAGCTTGATGGCACCTAAAAACAACAATCTTGACAAGCAAAATCCAAAACAACACTAAACTATACCCTTCAAAAGGGTAAATTTTATAGTATGTGATCTATATCTCAATAAAGCTGTTTGAAAAGTATTTGGGCATTCCTAGAAGTTCACAACTACAGATCTGTTCCCATACAGTTGAACCTGAAAAGTAATCGAGTACCTAACATCCACCCTGAAGGACACGCTGGCCAAATCAGTTTTGACTAAGCTGTAAGTGTCACCAAGGCACCAGCACGCAGAAATTTATCCACTCGCAGTAGGGGTTTAAAGGCACAAAACCAGGCTAGAAGGTACCGCTCCTTCACTAAGTGTCCTCGAAATTCAAAGCGTTTCCCCCCAGCCCAGTTCAAACAAAGCTTCCGATGGAGCCTGGGCAGTCCGAAGGCTGGCCCGTAGACACTTACATGGGGTCGTCATCTGGCTCCCAGCCTTCCAGCTCCTTGAAGCAGAAGAAACACTGGGCCAAGTCAGGCTCGTTCTCAGTGGGACAGTGGATGAAGCCGGCCTCGGCCATCTGCAAGGGAGAGATGAGCGGACGCAGCGGCCTGAGGCCCGCAGAGCGTCCCGGCCCGCCGCAATAGGGCCGACCCTCCGGAGGGGTCGTTCCAGAACCGGGGCGCAGGGGCGGACGCAGGAAGGCCTCGCTCAAGGCATGGCGGGCCTGGGGGTCCAGGGCCGGGCTCTGGGTTCCGGGCGAGCCTGGGGGTCTGTAGGGGGCCTGGGGGCCGGGGCGGGCGTCCTGAGGGGCCGGGCAGTCTCACCCGCTCCGGGGTGCAGGAGCAGCCCTCCAAGAAGGGCCAGTTCTTGAACGTAGAGATGCGGTGGTCCTTGAGATAGAGCTGCCAGGCCGGGGGCAACAGCCGGGCGCCCATTCCGCCGCCGCCGACCGGTCCTGCGATTCAAACCCGGCGGTTGCAGCGCACCGCGGGGCACGACGGGAACGCCCCGCCCCTTGCGCGGGACGTGCCCGCGGCCTCCTGGGAATGCGAGGGTGGGCGGCGCGGGGCCTGATGGGAGTTGTAGTCCTTCCGCTCAGCGGCTCCGATTCTGTTGTCGCGCGTCGAGTGACCCCAGCCTCCCACTCACCCCTTCCCACATTTTGCGCTTCCCCACTGCTTTCAAAGAGTGGGTAGGAAGAGGAGCTTGGGATGGGCTGACGTCCAGGAATGGGCTCAAGGAGTGGCCCCCGTCAAGCACGTGTTTATTGTTGTTGAGTTGTTAGTTGCCATCATGGAGTCGGCCCCCAACTCATGGCGACCCCACACACAATGGAACAAAACGCTGCCAAGTTCTGCGCCATTCTCATGATAGTTGGGATCCACAGGGTTTTCACTGGCTGATTTTACGAAATAGATGACTAGGCCTTTCCTCCTAGTCTGTCTTAGTCTGGAAGCTCTGCTGAAACCTGTTCAGCATCTTCGCCACATGCAAGCTTCCATTGACAGACGCGTGGTACCTGCACATGACGTGCATCGTCTGTACTCAAACCCAGGTCTCACACAATGAAGGCGAGAATGCTACCACTGAACCACCATTGACCCCTCATGAATTTCTTAAGCTCTGCAAACTCATTTCTTTTTGTGGGTTCTTCCTTCTGGAACAGGGACCTTATATCAGGCTGGTTAGAATGTGTGCCTGATGCATTTCCAACTAGAGACCCACGTTCTCTCCGGGGGAAGATGTCAGATTCAATCCACAGCTAAGCCTCCAACAACGGTCCTGTGCCCCATTTTTTTTCGGATTACTGTTTTGCCTACTGTTTGGTTAGTTACAGAAAGTTTTTTATACACAAGGGACTTAGCCTCACTTGTCACGTCTCCCCTCTTCCCCCAGTTTGTTTGTCTTTTAACTTTGTGGGTTTGTTTTTTTCTGCAGAATATTTTTTCTTTTCCTTTTTTTGGTGGAGAAGATAAATTCAGAACAGTTTTATTTAATTGACAGACAGGACCTTGTTAAACTCTGGTTTAAAAAAAGCCTTTCACATCTCTGTCTTGTTCACTCGTTGTCATTCATATTTATGTAAAAGTAGAAGCTTAAAAATAAGAAGCTTATTTATCACAACCTATAGGTAAGAAAAGGGTCACATAAAACAGAATTTTTATTTTTGAAGTTTTTTTCTTTTTTTAAGGTGTTAAAGAACGTTAATAGGAATTATGCTGTATCAACCATTTATTGAAGTAAATGGGCTTTGGAACTAAAAAAGGAAAAGAACTTCTAAACACTAATGTGCAAAGAGGAAACAGTTCACTATGCCAGGTAGTGGGTGATCAGCAAAGATAACCAATGTCGGTGTCATTAGGGAAAGCTTAGAAGCTGGACCTGTCAGTCTGTCCTACTGTGGTGGCTTGAGTGTTGCTATGATGCTGGAAGCTATGCCGCCAGTATTTCAAATACCAGCAGGGTCACCCATGGTGGGCAGGAAGATTTATAAAAAATACTCACTGAGGGGACCATGGTCCCGGGGAACATCTAGCTCAATTGGCATGACACAGCTTATAAAGACAATGCTCTACATTCTACCTTGGTGAGTAGTGTCTGGGGTCTTAAAAGCCTGTCAGCGGCCATCTAAGATACTCCACTGGTCTCATCCCTTCGGGAGCAAGGGAGAATGAAGAGAACAGGATACAAGGAAAAGATCAGTCCGAAGGACTAATGGTCCACAGCTACCAAGGCCTCCACCGGACCGAGTCCAGTACAGCTAGATGGTGCCCGGCTACCACCACTGACTGCTCTGACCAGGATCACAACAGAGGGTTCTGGACAGAGCTGGAGAAGGATGTAGAGCATAATTCTAACTCACAAAAAAAAGACCAGATTTACTGGCCTAAAGGAGACTGGAGAAACCTCGAGAGTATGGCCCCCAGACACCCTTTTAGCTCAGTGGTGAAGTTACCTCCAAGGTTCACTGTTCAGCCTGGGAGTGGACAGCCCCGTGAAACCAAATGAGACTAACAAGGTACAGGAGTCCAGTGACAAGGGCCAGAAGCTGGAGGGGGACAGGGAAGCTGGTGATAGGGAACCCAAGGTTGAGTAAGGATATTGTTGATGTGTTGTGAGATTGTTAATCATTGTCATAGGGCAACATTTGTAGTAACTGTTAAATGAGAAACTATTTTGTTCTGTAAGCCTTCATCTTAAGTGAGAATAACAGCACAATTGGAAGAGCGTAGTCAATGTCACTGAACTGTGCATGGAGAAATTTTTGAAATGGTGTATCTTTGGCTATGTGTATTTTCACCAAAAAAAAAAAAAACAACAGGTTGAGAATTTAGAGGGTTAATATGTTGTGGGGTTGTTAACCAATGTCGTAAAACAACATGTGTACTACTGTTTCATGAGAAACTATTTGTTCTGTAAGCCGTCACCTGAAGTACAATAAAATAAAAAAATAAAAAAAAAATATTCACTGAAGATTTCTTCTGGTACATTTATGGTTTCCGTTTTTGTGCTGATGTCTTGACCCCCAGGAAGCATGTCAATGGGAGGAGCGTGGAAAGGGTTCAGATTTATTTTTTCCAGTCTGCCCAGCTGCCCCCACATCGTTTATTCAACAGTCAACTTGGTGCATCTGATGGGAAACACGACCTTTACCACATCCTAAACACCCTGAAGTGTTAGGACCTATTTCCCCAGTCTCACTTCTGTCCACTGATCTGTCTGCTTCTTCCTGAGCTAGCCGGGTTCTTTTATGGGTGAATAAATGGAGATTGAGCACTGGCAGAAGTCTGGGCAATACAAGGAATTAGGGAGATTAACCAGGCCCTCAGAACAAATCCGTGAGCAGCTGGGTGCTAGGCAACCCAAGAGACCAAGGCAGGCCCCGACTCGCTCAACAAAGTCAGAGAGGAGAGTTTTACAGGCCTCCAACTCCCACAAAAAACCCAAATGGGTTTAAGGGCTAAAAAGAGGAAAGGGGCATGCCAAGTCCCCGATGGCTCAGACTTGGATTTCCAAGAGGGTCCCCTTGCAGGGTAGGGCTAAAACCAAACCACACCTGTTGCTGTTAACTTGATTCCAACTTAACTCATAGCCACCCTACAGAACAGGGTAGAACTGCCCCATAGGGTTTGCAAGGAGCAGCTAGTGGATTTGAACCGCCGACCTTTTGGTTACTAGCCATAGCTCTTAACCACTGGGCCAGGGAAGGCTATCAGGGCAGGAGCAGGCCCACCAGAGACATGCCAAGAGGAAGCACCAGGTGAGAAAAGGCTGATTCCCAGCGGCAAGCTCCTCCCTGCCCTCCTCAAAGCAGGGTGTCCCAGCAACGGCAAACCCTGCAGCCTACTGAACCTGTTGTCTTTGTCTGGGAAGGAACAGCACGTTCAGAGTCATTTCCAGAGCTCAGTGGGTGGGAAGACAGAGCCAGAGATAAGAGACCTTCCCTGATCAGCCCTCCAGCTTCAGGCAGGCCTGCTAACTTCAACTGTCTTCATATAATGACTCTTTTGTAACTTTCTATTTTGACATCATTTTGAACTAAAGAAGTTACAAGAATAGTACAAGGAATATGCATATACCCTTTACCCAAAAAACCAAAAACAACCACTGCCATCAAGGCTACAGTGACTCATGGTGACCCATGCGTGTCAGAGTAGAACTACGTTCCGTAGGATTTCCAATGGCTGATTTTTCAGGAGATTGTCAGGCCTTTCTTCTGAAGTACCTCTGGGTAGACTTGAACCTCCAACCTTTCGTTCAGCAGCCAAGCACACGAACTGTCTGTATGACCCAGGGATTCCTGGTAAAGGGCCAGAGGGCACATATTTTCGGTTCTGTGCGCCATAGAGTCTTTGTTGCAACTACTCAAACCTGCCATTGTAACGCAGAAGCAGCCACAGACAACTAGTAAATGAACGAGCGTGGCTGTGTTCCAATAAAATTTTATTTATGGACACTGAAATCTGAATTTTGTATAATTTTCACATTATAAAATACTATTCTTAAAAAAAATTTTTTTTAACCATTTCAAAAAAATGGGCAGTCAGGGGGAGGTAAGTATACAGATGTTCCTTCATTTTTGTCCCCTCTCTCTCAGCAGCCAGAGGGCCAGACTTGCCCAGGAGGCTCCAGGCCCCACACAGCCCTGACCTGGGCTGGGCCAGGCCCTCGCTGGAGCCCACTGATCCCAGGTAAGAACAGGCAGAAGGTGGAGATTTTCACTACTGTTTAGAGCTGTGTGGAGAATTTGTTCTTCCTAGGCCGGCAGACAAAGAAAGGCTTTACTCAGCGCTGGGGAAGCGGGAAGGCTTCGCGGAGAAGCTTCGCAGGCAGGCCAGCGCTGGGCTGGGGTTCAGGTGCCGTCAGGACTGCTGGAAGATTATTCCCAAAATAATCTGCAGAAGGAAGAAAAGATGGGAAAAGCTCAGAACAGGAGAGGCCCTGTCGAGAACCCTCAGCAGGAGGCTCTGACAGAAATTTGATTAAGAAACAGGCTGGTCTTTCTTCAGTTCAAGAGATGTCACTTGTGGGTGTTTGTCTTCTCCCCAGTTGTCACAGAAAATAAAGTAATACATGTTCATGGTAGAAAATGTGGGAAAAGGTTAACGCGCTTGTGATGCCACTGTGTTTTTCTTATGCCTAGGGGTGCCTGATCTAGCTGTGTATTATAAGCCTGGGAATATATGGTTGAACTGTGGCCCCCTAAAATGTTATGTTAATGTCCTAACCCCTGTACATGTAAATATGACCAGGTTTGGGAACAGAAGGCTTTCTTTTGTTATGTTAATGAGGTCACGCCAGAGTAGGGTGGGTCAAACCTAATCACTTCACGCACGCACGCATGCATGCACGCACGCACGCACGCACGCGCCGGAACACCAAGAAAGTCCCAGGGCTACCAACAAGAAAGGACCTGCTTCGAAAGCCGATTCCCTAATTTGGGCTTCTAGCCTCCAAAAGTGTGAGACAATAAATTCGTCTTCTTTAAAGCCACACACTTGTATGTATTTTTTGTTAAGGCAGCACTAGGAAACGAAGACAATACTGAATTAGTTGTTTTCTGAGGTTTTTCACCTAGCACATCTAAATCAATTTCCACATCTTGTTTTAGCAGGAGGGGCCGATCCCTGGAAAAGGACATCGTGCTTCGTAAAGTAAGAGGGTCAGCAAAAAAAGAGGATGACTCTTGACAAGATGGATTGACACAGTGGCTGCCAACAATGGACTCAAACATAGCAATGATTGTGGGGATGGCTCAGGACCGGGCAGTGTTTCGTTCTGTTGTACATCAGGTCACTAGGAGTCGGAACCTAACAACAATGATTCACAAACTTGATTCCGTTGCCTGCTTATATCATAGTTTAACCTCACTGAACATTTAGGCTGTTCCCAAGTTCTAAATATTAATAAAGCTGCAAAGAATGTCCCTGTGTATTTCTTCGATTATCCTTTAGACAAATCCAAGCAGCAGAATTATTGGGTCAGTGGGTTTGGATCCATATAGCCAGACTGTGCTCAGAAACATCTGGCCCATGTGGGTCCCCAGCAGCAGAGCTGGGGAGTGCACCCTTCACTACATCTTCACCAACACTGGCCATTATTATAATCAGATCACTTCCAATTAGGCGAAAGAGGAATCTCATCTTAAATTACATTTCTATAATCACTAATGCGTTTTAATCTTATTCCATGTTTAGTGGCTATTTGTATTTCTTTTAAAAACTGTCTCTTATTCTTTGTCCATCTTTTTCGATTTATTTCTATTTTTAAAGAGAAATAAAAACTATTCTTATTGATTTGAAAGGGCTCTTTATATATTAAGGATATTAACTATGTGAATTAAAACTGCTATACAAACCCTGGAAACCCAGGCGGTGTAGAGATTAAGTGCTAACCAAAAGATTGACAGTTGGAATCCACCAGGTGCTCCTTGGAGACTCTATAAGGCAGTTCTACTCTGCCCTATAGGGTCGCTATGTGCCAGAATCAGCTCGACAGCAAGGGGTTGGTTTGTTTGTTTTTTGGTTATACAAACCCTACTGAGGTGGCAGCTGATCTAAAAATCCAGCTAATCAAATACCCAATTAGGGGGAGGGGATGAGTATTAACTTTATATCTGCCAGATCTATGGCAAATATTCTCCCTGATTTATACTTTGATTTTAAATTTTTATGGTGTTCTCCATATTAAAGTTATAATAAATATTTATGCAGCCATAATACATCCATCCTTTCCTTTATGGAGTTTACTTCTGCTTTTATGCTTAGAAACAGACCAGTACTTTCTCATACCTGCCTCTCCACAGTCACGCTATGTTGTCATTGGGTGCTGTTGAGTCAATCAATACTCATGGCGACCCCATGTGTTTCAGAGTAGAACTGCTCCATAGGGTTTTGAAGGCTGTGACCTTTTGGAAGCAGATCGCCAGGTCTGTCTTCTGAGACGCCTCTGGGTGGGTTCAAACCACCCACCTTTTGGTTAGTGGTCAAGCGTTTAACTGTTTGTGCCACCTGAGGACTCCTACCCACACCATAAACCCACTGCTGTCCAGTCAATACCAACTCATAGTGACCCTACAGGACAGAGTAGAACTGCCCCACAGAGTTTCCAAGGCTGTAATCCTTACAGAAGCAGACTGCCACATCTTTCTTCTGTGGAGTGGCTGCTGGGTTCAAACCACTGACCTTTCGGTTCACAGGTGAGCGCCTTAACCACTGTGCCACCAGGGCTCCACCCACACCATATTGTTGTTAGGTGCCGTCGAGTCGGTGCCAACTCATAGTGACCCCATGTACAACATAAGGAAATACTGCCCGGTCCTGTGCCATCCTCACCATGGTTACTACATTTGAGCCCATTGTTGCAGCCACTGTGTCAATCCATCTCGCTGAGGGTCTTCCTCTTTTTTGCTGACCCTCTACTTTACGAAGCATGATGTCCTTCTCCAGGGACTGGTTCCTCCTGATAACACGTCCAAAGTATGTGAGACCAAGTCTCACTATCCTCGCTTCTAAGGAGCGTTCTGGCTGTACTTCTTATGAGACAGATTTGTTCGTTCTTTTAGCAGTCCATGGGATAGTCAGTGTTCTTCGCCAACACCATAGTTCCAAGGTATCAATTCTTCAGTCTTCTTTATCCACTGTCCACCCACACCATAGCCACATACGAATCCCACCTGTGTGCCCAGGACTAGACTCACATGCAGATCACCTGGGGCCTGATCAGAATCAGCGCTTTTTCAGAGGAGGGTAAATATACAGGAAGCATGAGTGGCATTTCATTTCTGCTGTCAGCGCCCAGGGGTCCCCCAACCTTCGGGATGCCCAAGGAACCACCAAGGTGGCTCCCCTTCCTCCCCGCCTCTCCTTGTGTTGAGGGGCTTCTATAGAACATGTGTGTTTACAGCGAAGAGAACTGCCAGGTGGCTGGGAAGGGACACGGCCCACCTGGATGAGCACATAACCCTTCTGCGTTAGATTCTCAATGATTTCAAAGTGGTCCACATTGGGGATCTCTTCAAATGTGGCCTTCCACCCTCCTCGGCACAGCACCTGGGCAGGCAACACAAGGAGAGGGGCCGTGAGGCTGCAGAAGACAAAAGAGGGGAGCCCTTGGTGCTAGCAGCACCTGGCCCCTCTCAGAGAGGAAAGAGGGGAGCCCTCGGCGCTAGCAGCACCTGGCCCCTCTCAGAGAGGAAAGAGGGGAGCCCTCGTCACCAGCAGCACCCAGTCCCTCTCAGAGAGGAAAGAGGGGAGCCCTCGGTGCTAGGAGCACCCGGTCCCTCTCAGAGAGGAAAGAGAGAAGCCCTCAGCGCTAGGAGCACCTGGCCCCTCTCAGGTGTCCATTAAATACCTCGGGTGGTCTTGGGGACCATTTGGGTGAAATAAAGAGGTGCTATAGACAGAAGGTGGAGAGTCCATGACACCTGACATCTGGCCTAAAGCGGGTGCCGGGCATACCTGAAAAAACTCTCTGGACTGTCGCTGGAATTCAGGGGAGTCGTGCTGGCCCACAATCACCAACGTGGGAAGAGCAGGGGCCACAGGTGGCTTCGGGGCGGCCTGCAGGAGCAGCTGTGGACTGTGCCGCTGAGTGTCTTCCCTGCAAGGGGGTGGCGGTCAGCACAGGGAGGAGCCCTTGCTTCACCTGGCCTTCCTGCAGGATCCCGGCCGGCAGGGTGGGTGACTCACCACATCAGGAGGAGAGGGTCATTCTGGGAGGTGTGCATGATGGGTTCCAGGTCATAGACCCCACTGACCAGGAACAAGCCTGCGATGGTGAAGGACAGTTACAGGTCAGGCTGAAGGGGGCAGCACTCCCCCCAGACTGGCCCTCATTCAGGTACCACGTCGGTTGGCCACCACGTGGAGCAAGATGGAGCCAGGGGCCAAAGGGGCGAGACTGGGGTTGGGGCCAGAGACAAGGCTGGGAAGGCCCTGATCACAGGGCTCAAAGCCCCCTCACAGCTGTCAGAGACTCCCAGCAGCTGGTTCAGACCCTCAGGTCAGGCCCCTCACAGCTGTCAGAGATTCCCAGCAGCTGGTTCAGACCCCCAGGTCAGGTCCCTCACAGCTGTCAGATTCCCAGCGGCTGGTTCAGATCCCCAGGTCAGGTCCCTCACAGCTGTCAGAGATTCCCAGCGGCTGGTTCAGACCCCCAGGTCAGGTCCCTCACAGCTGTCA